AGGGTGCAGGGCCTCTGGGCGTGGCGCCTCCCTGGGTCAGGGCCAAGGCCTGTGAGTGTCCCAGAACCTGGGGGGCTGTAGAGCTGGAGTCGCCACTGCTGAATTCTCCACCATGCATTTGCGGGTAAAGAGGCCCTGGCCTGGGTGTCGGAAGCTGAAACAAAAATTTCTCAGAGCTGGGCCAGGGCGTGTGAGTGTGAACATGTATGTGCTGGGGCTGGGGTGAGATGGGCAGTAAGGGGGGAACTTGGAGGCTATAATCTCATTAGCACTTTCTCCCTCAGTCAGCCCCAGGCCGGCAGGCAGCGCTGAGCCAGGGAAAACAGGGGGGATGCTGAGACAGTCCAGGTCGCCTGCCAGGCAGGCTTGGGGAACACCTAGGAAGGAGGAGTCAGGAGGCTGATGAGTCTAGACACCCAACCTTTGCAGCCCAAACTTTAATGGGTCGTCCGATCCAAATCAGCTGCCAGCCCAGCTCCTCTCTAGGGAAGAGGCAGGAAACGTGTAAAGTGTGTGGAACAGTGTCTGGAATGTACTAAGTGCACTCTTAAGGTGTTCCCCTACTAAGATGACCCCGTTTGGGCATCCTAATGACCCTGGACTCCGAAGGACAGCCCCCGAGCAAAGGACAGAGTAAAGATGCCTGTCCGGGGAGGAGACGTGTGGTGAGACAGGAGGAGGGTGTCCCACTCACTTGGACCTTTGGGCCTGGATCTCTGTTTGGGTCATTATCATCCCTTCACGCAGGCTGGGAATCCTTTGCCTTCCTCACCCCACATTTCTTCCCAGTGCTGCTGTGCTTGCAGTCTTTGGGTCCCGATGAGAGCAAGGAGTAGCTCTTGGACCTCCCGAGCAGCGGAACACCAGTGATTGTGGGGAATGTGACTGGTTTCAGGTGAACTGCAGAGAGTCTCTTCCTCCATGGAGGAAAGGTTCTCCCCAGGGCCCAGTTCCAGGCAGGCCCTAGGCACTTGTTCCCCTGGGCCTCCTTCTTCCTAGGAACAGCCTGGGGCAGGCTGCCCACAGCAGCAGCAGCAGCTCCTGGGAAGCTGGGCCTGCTCCCTGCCTTCCCCCACACCACACTCTGCATTTTCTTAGAGGAAGAGCTGTCCAGCTGTCCGCTGACCTGCCTTTCCATGCCTGAAGTGAGTCCTGGAGGAGGAGAGGTCTAGAAAGAGCCTGGTTTGCAGAGGATATCCTCCCTGACAAGCAAACTCGAATGTCTGGGTGTGTCCCCAGGATCCTCGG